AAAGTTGATAATGGTGCGGAAGCAAAATAAGCAAGAAACAAAATGTAAGAAACAAATTTTCTGGTTTTTTTTGTTCTCGATTAATAGGAAAAATAAACAACTGAAAAATAAAACGATAAAGGTTGCAGTGAAAAAATATGGGGATAAGAGCTTTTAGCTCTAATACCAGATGATATAAGATTGGAATCCACCAAACTTATGTTCACAAGATGATCGAGAGTTTACAAGCTAATCACGCGGAAGATGGATGATGATAGAGATGGAGATGGAGGGTTTGTCGTTGAATCAACAACAACACACGAACCAGACTGTTTGAAGCTCACAAACAACCTAGAAACGCAATAATACAAGACAATAAAATCTCACCAAGGGCTTGAAATGACAAGAACACAAAAGACACACTTTTGTAAAACAAAACTTAACGTTGTTATTGAATAATTCAAGATGAAGGGTCATTTACAATGAAGAATGAAATGAGCTTATATAGGCTCGACATAGAACATTTCTAAGGTCTAAAACAATAAGCAAATCGTGAATATTAAATCAGAAAATAGCCGTTGGAGAATTAATGCGCAATCGGCCAAATAAGGTAAGTTGGAGGCTCCTTGTATCTTGACAGCTTGGGAAGGAAGTGATGCGCCTTTGGAACATTCTTGATGATGTAGGGAGACTTTAGAACGCATACAAGTTGATAGAAATGTGACCGTTGTAGTTTAATGCTCCAAGGTTCCAAATAAGGCAAATTTGGGATCTTCTTTTTTCCAAAATTGATATCTTCCAAGCCACTTTTGTTTTTGGCTTAACTCTCTCTGGTTTAGTCGCAATCCTCCAATGAATGCGCGTAGGTCCAAATCGGGTAAGTTTGAAGTCACCCAACTTGAAAACTTAATAACTCCTTTATGCAAGCTTATATTTGATTGATTCCACTTCGAGCAATTCACTATCTGACCTGAGAATCTATTCCAAGCGGTTTCATGACCTGAATCATTGTCGTTGAGCCGGAATTGATCAAATAGTGGTCATAGGTCTGCATCGGCTTTAGTAGCAGGATGGTCTGGAATCACCGAGTTGTAAATTCAGTTCGATATGCTCCATGAAAGGCACATGTGTCCATGTTGGATCCTATGTGGCTCGAGTGGTAAGTTTGATGGAGCTTCTGTTCAGCTATTGGTTTGATGACCACATCTTATTGATCAAAAGATGTCAAGAGTTGACAAGCTTTGTTGCGGAAGATGGACGTTGATAGATATTGAGATGGAGTTTGCGATTGATTCCACAATCACACACGAACAAGAAGGCTTGATTCCACAAGCAATCTGATGTGAAAATCAGTAGAAAAAAGTGATTCCACACTTAGATTTTAAAGACAAGAACAAGAACACAAAGACACAATTTGTAGAGAAAAACGTAATGTTTATTGATTCAATGATAAAATGTGATTTACAAAGAACTAAGAGATGAGCTTTTATAGGCTCATAAGCAACGGTCTAATGGAGCTAATACAAGAAAATAATCGCGAAATTTAAAGAATATGGCCGTTGGAACTTTGATGACAAAATCAGGCCAAAAAAGGAAAGTTTGAAGGCTCCTTGTATCTAGACAACTTGGGGAGGTATAGGTGCACTTTTGGGAGACTCTGGATGTGTTGCAGGGTATCCAATTCGTGGAAAAACCTAAAAGGAAAGAGCCGTTATGCAAACTCCTTTATTGTTCCTAGTGTGAATTCGTCAAAATAAGAAAAGTCGAGATGCGAGAGGATTCGCCTAATCCTCTGAGTGCTGGAGCATTGTAGGCCTTTGGGGAAGCTTCTAGATCAGAATAAATGTCTCCTGGTTGCCATAAATACGTTTGTTCTTGACCAAACTCATGAGACTCCAAATAAGGCAAGCCGAGAAACCATTGGTTTAGAAATTGAATAATTTTCAAAAAACCGGTAGTTGTATGATTCCAATTCTCCCGAAATCTCTGATGAATCCAGATTCCATAACAAGTCGGTTCACAGTTTAGTTCCTTCTGGTTAGGTCGCAAATCTCCAATTAAGCCGCATATGTCCGAATCGGGTAAGTGCAGAAACACTCGACTTGCAAACAGAATATCTCCTTCATCATAACTCCGATTGGGTTGATTCAAAATGTTGGCGAGGTGTACGTGAGCTGAGAATCTTTTCCAAGTGGTTTCATGCTTTGAAAATTCGTGGTTGATTTTATATGCTCCAAGAACGGCATATGTGTCCTTGTAGAGTCCTATGCGATTTGTATGGCACGTTTGATGGAGCTCCTGTTCAGCTACTGGTATTATGACCTCATCATACCCTCTCCCTTGGAGACTTTTCCTTGGAAACTTTCCTAAACAGTGAGTAGCAGCTATACATACCGATGCCAACATAATTTCAGCAAAGAAGAATTCTTGGAACTTTTCTTCTTCACCCCCTCTTAATTAACCAATCAAAATTTGCCTTGTAATTTAATTAAACAATTAATATTATCTAAATAAAATAATTAGATTAAATTATTAAAAATTAATTAAATTAAAATGTGTATTTTAAATCTACTAAATTATTCAAATCAAATGTTTTAAATTATTCAATATTTTACGTATGTCTGTGAGGGTTTAGACTGACATCTTAGGGTTTAGTATTCCTTGAAATCTATTAAATTAGTCAAATAAAGTGTTTTAATTCAAACAATATTGCACGTTTGTTTGTGAGGGTTTAGGCTCTCATACCAGGGTTTAGTATCCCTTCAAATCTATGAGTTTAGTCAAACCGAGTGCTTGAAATCGTACAATATTTTACATTCGTTTATGAGGGTTTATGCTCATATATTAGTGTTTAATACTCTTAATTTGTTAAGAAAATTAATAATAAACCCATCTTTATTTTGATTAAAATGTAAAAATTAGACAATTATAACCATTCGTAATTTATATAAAATACACATTTTAATATAATTATTTAATTGTTTGATCTTAAAGGGTATATTGTATAATTAATGATTTAATCTAATTATTTTATTTATATAATACTAATTATTTAATTAGATTATATGACAAATTTTGATTGGTTGATTAAGAGAGGGTGAAGAATTGTTCTTCAAAAAATAGTTAGTTCAAGCATAATTTTATACACACTTACCTGTCAATTCTACAAGTTTATATGATTTATTTTTGGGACAATTGCAAAAATGCAATTTTTGGTATGTACATTTGCAAGAATGCCACTTAGAGGTGTTTATTTGCAAAAATGCCACT